GATTGACCAAACCAATCAAATTGTTTATCTTGACACATTGATTGGTATTTATTGCTTCCTCTATATGATTAATTATAAAAAAGGATCTAGTGTAATTAATATAATATAATATAAATATAGATACATGCAATAGCATTTTAGAGGTCTAATCATAATGAACACCTTGGATTTGTGATTGCATGTGGTTGAATTGTATTGGTGATGTGACAATATTAATACTTAACATTGGTATTCCAAAGTTTAATAAATAAAACAAAATATGGATTACAGGGGCATGAGTATGACAGTAAAAACATACACGTTTATAATAATATATAGGTGGCATTATATTGACATGAAGTTTTCTTTCATATTCATCGTAGTTAATGTGTTGGCATTCAAAATGTCTAAATAAGAGGTTATAAAAGGGCATACATTCAATTGTGTATTATCGCAATATGTTAGTTGGAATCAACAATACACTTGTTTTTTTGTTAATTGCTTATAGGTCATGTTAGTTTGTGTCAATAATACGTCTGTTTTTCATATTTTGTTAATCGATGATTTTTTATTTATTTATGTTTTTGTTGTTGTTGTTTACAGGTCAAAGATTCATGAATTGATATTAAATAAAGGAAGGATGTCCATTGACATTGTCAAATGAGTTGTTATTTTGATTCGTTCTTCTAAACTATAAGTATATCTTCTAACTATTTTAATACGAATTGTAAGTATATCTTCTAACTATTTTAACGGTTATTATTTGGTTGAATGATTGTTTTTTGTTCGGTCAATCTATTTGAATGATAAATTGTGTTAGTCCTGCCAATGGTAAGTGTATTCCTTAACAATTTTAATATGAAGATTAATTAACTTTTGTTGATTTCGTTTTCAGGTAACAGTTGTTATACGAATGAAGAATTGCTCCTTAATAGTCCTAACATAAAGATCAATTAAATTTTGTTATGTTTGTTTTCAAGGAAATGTTCATATACTTTACTAAGATCAAACCGAGAATGATCCTATTGTCAGTCGAACTATGAGTATGTGTCATATCTATATTAATAGAAACAGTTAATTTGTGTTGAATATGTTTTCGGTAAAAACATTCATGTATTCTAATTTTTTATATGAATGATTAATTGTTTATATCCTAATATGATAATTCCTTAAATTTGGGTCAAGTAAACTATTCATTTTATCATCACACGTATTTCGGTTTCCACTGAACAATCAGTAGTAATTTAACCATAACTTACTCGATAAAAATCCAATTGATGAGAGGACTGCATCTTTAGAAACTAGATAAACAGTGCTTTAATTTGATATATTATACACTTAATTTGGATAATTGTAGCCTCACTGTTGAACCATTCATTTAATCATCACACATATTTTAGCTTCTACTAAACAGTCAGTAGTGAATTGACCATAACTTGCTCAATAAAAATCCAATTGATGAGAGATTTGCATCTTTAGAAACTAGATAGAGAAGGCTTTAAATTGGTATATTACATGCTTAATTTAGATAACTGTAGCCCCACTTCTAAACCATTCTTTTTATCATTATACACATTTTGATTTCCCCTGTTTCTCGATTTCTACTGAACAGTCAGTAGTAAATTAGCTATAACTTTCTCAATAAAAATCCAATTGATGAGCGGTTTAACTTTTTGAATACTAGATAGATAGAGCTTTAATTTGATATATCATACACTTAATTTGGATAACTTTAGATCCACTGTCAAACAATTCCTCTTATCATCACACACTTTTTAGTTTCTACTAAATAGTCAGTAGTAAATTAACTATAACTTGCTCAATAAAACTTCAATTGATGAGAGGTTTAAATCTTTAGAAACTATACAGATAGAGCTTTAATTTGATATATGATACGCTTAATTTGGATAACTTTAGCCCTACTTCCAAACCATTTTTTTTAATTATCACACACATTTTGATTTCTCCTGAACAGTCAGTAGTAAATTGACCATAACTTGCTCAATAAAACTTCAATTGATGAGAGGTTTCAATCTTTAGAAACTAGACAGACAGGGCTTTGATTTGGCATATTATACACTTAATTTAGATAACTGTAGCCCTACTTCCGAACCATTCTTTTTATCATCACACATATTTTAGTTTCCCCATTTCTCGATTTTTACTGAACAATTAATAGTAAATTGGTCATAACGTACTAAATAAATATTCAATTAATAAGCGATTTGAATATTTGAAAACTAGAAAGATAGAACTTTAATTTTATATATTATGCGATGAATTTGGATAACTAAAGACCTGCGACTGAACTATTCATTTTATCATCACACATATAAAACCAATTTTTATTTTAGTGATGACAAAGGAAAACAAATATTGATATGTAGTTTTAATTTTATTTGTTCTATCTTTTTTTGTTAATATTTTTTTATGTTACATACATATATCAAAAACAGGTTGTTATTGGATATAACAAATTTTATTTGTATCACAAATATCATCTAATGTTTGTTGCCAAATCTTGTAGCTTTAGTAAACCATTTATAATATGTCAAACCATTATTATTATCCTTAAAGGAAAACAAATATTGATATGTAGTTTTAATTGTAACTGAATGGTTAGAATCTGTCAACAAATAAAGTGTATTTATAGTTTAAGGCTGTCCACCCCGGCCGTCACGCCAGTCTGACAATATGTCACATACTATTGGATGAGCGATCTGATAATGTGTACTAATAAAAGAACATTAGAAAATGACTATTACGTTTTTTTTCATGATGCTAATTTCAAATTAATGCCAATATCTAACTATTTCAATGCTTCTGATTCGTTATTAAACAACAATAAATCTGTAGATATGATATATGTATTAAATTGTCGTTCTGAAATTCGTTATTAGAGCTAAAAATCTTGCTAAAAATCTGCAGAAATAATATCATTGTATTAAATTGTCGTAAAAGATAACTTGTAGAAGAATCTAATTGAAGGGACTCTTTACAAATACTGGAGTAGATAGCCTAATAAATATCGTATATATTGTAATGATATTTTTTCAATTTTATCTCTAATTAGGGGAAATTAAAGTAGTGTTTTGTTTAAAAAAAAAAAAGATTGTTAACCACGTCGTTAGAATTGAGGGACCATTGCTCATAAAATCGCATTTTAAAGTTGGGTTAGTGGTAATCCAATGAGCATAAATTTATGCCAGTGCCCCATGGTTGCTATTGCTCAACACTCAGATCTACACCATGTGTCAGCATCCTAGCTAATCTCTTACAAGTTTTATGCTGCTTTCAAATTAAAACTATCCCAATTAAAGGTTTACAAAACAGTTAGACTTCACTTACTAATTTGCTATTGTAACATCTATATCTAATCTAATGTTTCCCAAACGGGGGGTTAACCTGAACATATCTTTTCCGACAACGAGATTTGTGCACGTGTCTTCACTCAAAACCAGGATTACGGTGAAGTCTATCTCACGTGTCGCTCTACAGTACATGACTTTCCGGACAATTCTACCAGTTTAAAAGGGGTGTTCAAATTGTAGAGTAATGAGAGGCGCTCAAATCCATATTAGGAGGGACTATGACTGGTGTACTCAACCCATCACACAACCACTCCCAACACCTTGTGAACGATTGATAAAGGGAGACTATCACCTCCATTTTGGGGGTTTAATTCAGATATAGAGGAGGGAAACACACTTAGAAAAGAGCTTACTTCTCTTTACGTGCTTTCCTTTGTAATCACTCTATATGTAAAGCAATAAAAACCAATACATTCAATAGATGTAGGCTTTTTCATACTTGCCGAATCCTTTAAAAATCGTTTCATTATTGAATCCATTCGATCATCTTAAACTATAATAATACGGTTGTTTATGAAAAATTGTTAGCCGATTGATAAGTGACTATTAATTTGACTTTCATTTAGAATTAAGTAAGTTTTACCTCATAATTATAACAACATAATTTAAATAATAGTCTTTAAATTTTCATATTTAACTACTTTAATCATAATAATATAAAAAATTAAGATAAATATAAATGTTTGGGGATAAAACTAAATTTATTTATCAAACTTTAAGTAAAATTAAGTTTGTTAAATATATTTCTCTTTCATATTTGAAGTGTATATTTTCTTTAGTGATAATAATTGTTAACCTATCATTCTTAGTAAACAATCTTAATGAGACTATATATTTTTTATTTTTTCTTTTCTTGTTTTACTAATTTGATTTTACTCCCCTTAAATAAGTTAGAGGATGAGCCATTATTGTGACTACATATAACGTGTCACAAATGTGTTTGTGCTCGGCTTTGGTATGTATCATCTTTGAATTTTTTTAACATCTCTACCAAACTTCATAACGGCTATTTCTTTAAATGTTTTTTTTTTTTTTAAATCAACCAAAAATAATAATTACTATAGTATGCAAAGTAAATTCGCGTGAAGTCAATACTTGTGATTAACCCTAAGATATCTTAAACTACAATGACCCTTTGTTCATGAAAAAAGTGAAGCACTCTTGTTAGTTAACATTTACTTATATTATATAATACAATTTATTATTTATTTACTATTACTAATAAAATAAAATATAAAAAATTTAAATACTATATTGAACTCATATTTAAATATTAAATAGTTAAATTAAACCGTTTAATAATTTATAAGTTTTTTAATAATATAATTATGTTCAGTGTCACATCGTAAAGATATGTGATCAAAATGTAGAGTGCGTTAAGTGTTGTTAGCTTTTTCTTCCCAATGCCATTAGTGTCAAACTTGAACATTACAAGGTTCATTTTCACCACAAATCACGCAAACTTAGGGTAAATAAATTTTTACCCCAGAGATTTTTTAGTTACTCTAAAAAACCCCAAAGTTTCTGAAACTAACATTAGTACCCCTAAATCTGATTTAATATTTGATTCTTTTCGAAAAAAAAGCACACCAACATCAAAACCAATGAACCTAAGTCTATATCTAACCTTTTTCAATGCTTCTAATACGTCTATTCAGAACCTAAAGTCTTGCGAGAAAATTTGATAGTATCAAGCTGTCATATAAGTAAAAACTGTAGAAGAATCTAATTCAATTGAAGGGACTCTTACAATTCTGGAGCAAATTAGCCTTTTTTTTTTTCGTTTCTGAAGTCTATAAATATCTCATAAATTGAATGAATTTTTGCAATTTTATCTCTAAGGGGGAAATTAAAGTAGTGTTAATATTTACGGTGTTTTGTTTTGAAACATAAAAAAGATCTTTGATTTTATTTAAGAAAATTTGAAAATGCCTTCATGTAAATTTTATCTCCCGGTAATAAAATCGTGTCTGCATAGTGTGTATGGTGGCTGAATTGATGTCGCATGTCGGTGGGTGGCTGTCCGACAACACTATGAGGCTGGATTGGCCTCCTCAGAGCTTCCAAGGCGAATCTAGCTTTAAGCCTTGTCGGTTTTGTGAGGAGTTTCTAGCCTCTAGTGAACTTGAAGGCATGCCTCTTAGTTCAAAGGCCTCCACGGCCTCAAGTGGCTCCACGGAAATCGTTAGCACAGAGTTTATGCATTGTGGGAGGGCAGGGGATTGAAAATGGTTCTAACAGGCGACGTTGGAATTCTTAATGCTGACTTCCTTTATTTTTTTCTAATGGCTGAATTCCAGTCTTGGTCGAATTTGGGAATATATTATATATAATAGCTATACTCATATGGGTTAATGCCACGTGGCACATTTTAGAAGCTCTAAATTGCCTCTTTTGACACATGGATTGACAACCAATCAAATTTTTTATCTTGACACTTGGATTGTTTATTGCTCCATCTATAGATTATTAATGAATTAAAAAATGGATCTATGTAATAATAATATAATAATAATAATATAGATACAAATACATTATTGCATTTAGGGTCTAATCATAATGACACCTTGGATTGTGATTGTCATGTGGTTGAATTTATTGGTTGATGATGTACATATTAAATTACTACATTCGGTATTCCCAAAGTTTAAATAAAATAAACATAAATTTGTGATTATAGGTGCATTGTATTGACAGTAAAACATACACGTTATTAAATATTATAGGTGCATTATTTGACATTGCAATGTTTCTTTCATACTCGAAGTTTGAAGTAGATTTTTTGAATGCGATTAACGATAAATATCTCACGTTTTTGTAAGTTTGAAGAGCAGCTACACATCTCGTATTGGAGACGTCTGCATTGTGATAATTCCCCTTGCAGCTTGTTTTGAGTTCCTACAGGAAGACATCAGACACTTTGAAATGAGAAACTATAAATTAAAACGAATTTAATGCTGTAACTATTGTGAAATATATACAGGATTATTTATCAATTAATTAAGCACCTGAAAGAGTTCATCTGATATGAGCGCCATACGATGAGCAAATATTATTTTTGAATTCTCATCAACAATAGAATCTGTATGTGGGCTCCCCATAATATATCCCTACACTCATTCAGAATACGTTACGCAGATCTGCTATAATTAAATTTCAAGAAAAGTAATATATACAAAGTTTTTTTATTAATAACATACTTTGAGATTCATACGTAGATGGGCATCAAGTCCATTTTCTGCATAATAAATTAAAGTAATTAAAGAAGGGAACTATAGGTTTCCATCGATGTTCATATAGTTTCTGAATAAGAGTTAACTGACCGTCTATTATCTTTTGGGTGATTTGGGGAACTACCATGCCTGAATAAGAATCACCACCAATGTATAGCTCAACTTGGAGATACTGTGGGTGTTTAAGTAACCACTGCAATATAATTTTGGAAAGAAATTCAAAGCACATTCATCAAAATAATTTATAAGGGTTTATTTAATTAATTAACTCACCTTCTTAAGAAATTGATAGGATTGCTCAGCTGATTTAGAGTCTGAGGTGGGCCAGACTTCTCGGTTTCTAGCATAAGAGAAACCTGTGCCTACTGGTGCATCTAGAAATATAATGCTGGCGGTCTGGAGAAATAATTGTCATCTTTTAGAGATCTTCTATATTCATATACATTAATGTTTACATAAAAATAAGTAAAAATTGTTTGTGTGTACACCAGTGGGCCCAGTACCTTAGTCCATGCATATGGATAATACTTAAGTCTTGGTAAGCCACCCGTATAGTTCTGGATATCAAACTCCAATGGACCTGCACAAATGGTTGATTAAGTGGTCATATCATCTTTTTACAATTCTAGTAGTTTTTATCTTTTGTTATGATAGTTTAATTTTCATTCGAGTAAGATTAGAGTTTCTTTTTGTTATATTTATTTTCTGACATTCGAGGTTACAGATTGGTTTAATTTATGTAAATAAGCGGTATTTGATTTATTGATCAATAATACTCATTTCTATTCCCTTTAATCTTCTTTTGTAACTTATCTTTGGATAAATATTATAAAAATTTGTGCTCAATATTATATTACGGGCTCGATCTTGCATGTGGACAGAGAAGCTACCCCATGCTTCCAAACTTTTTAAAAATAATTATATATTTGTACACTCCAAAGAATTTACGAAAAAAGGAAAGATCCTGAAATTATATATATATATATATGTTGGTAAAAAAAAAAAAAAAAAGTTGAAACAGAAATCCGAATGTCCGCCTGTATCTAAAATTTGGACAAGTTTCATGCCGCAAAGAAACTAGTACAAGGTTCTTGTGAAAGACTGTTTCCCCTTGTGGTATTCAAAATGATTAGATACCCCTTTATCTTTAGCTGTAGTGTATGCATGACTGACTATTTTTATGTAAACAAAGTGTTACTTAAAGATGAGACAGAATACCGATTTCATAGATGAGTCCATAAAAGGAGGAACAGCCAGGGCCCCCTGACAGCCATAGAATTAGAGGATCCTCTTCAATGTCACCTTGCGACTCGATAAAGTAGTAGAATAACTCGGAGTCTCCTACACTTTCGTACCTATTCAGCATTACACCCATATATTAAAATCAAATTTCACTCCCGAGATTGAGAGGGCTTTAGTGTAATTTTACGCTTTTTTTTAAATTAAAAACAATTCATTAAACTCTATATATATACACACAAAAAAACAAAGTCAACAACAAAAATAACAAATCAAATTGTTTGCTGCATATGGTCATCAATGATATGCTCGTAAGCAAAAGGGAAGAAAAAACTTAAACAGCTTACCCTGTTTCGAGCTTGAATGGAAGTTGACCCTCATAGCCTGGAAGATATTTAACAATTGAGCCAGAGAAGACCGTCGATGCCGACAGTTTAAGCAGAAGAATCAGAATAAAATATATCCACCTCAACCTCAGAGGACTAATAAAACGAAGATGCATATTGTTCATGCAGCTGTTTCTTCACCAAAAGATTTGTTAATAACAGGAATAAAGCGAAGTAGCTTTGCGACTTAGGATAATAAATATTTCATTTCTTCATCCCTAGCTGACAACCGACAGAATTGAAGGACCCTTGCTCATAACTCTCGTATTTAAAATGTATATGTTGTGTGGTAAATCCAATGAGCATAAATTTCCGAAAATAACACCACCCCTAAATCTATACTATTGGAATTTTTCAGATATATATTCACGTTGGTAGGTTTGAATGGTAGAACTGTCAACAAATGAAAGTGATATCTTATAGTTTGAGGCTGTCCAACCGGCCCATGTCTGACAATATGTACCATACTAATTAGATGACGATACATGATAAATTGTACTAATAAAAGAACATCAGAAAATGACTATTATACGTTTTTTTCATATGCTAATTTCAAATTAATGCAATATCTAACCTATTTTCAATGCTTCTGATTTCGTTTATTAAGAAACTATAAATCTTGTAGAAATATTGATATATTGTATTAAATTGTCGTTCTGAATTCGTTTATTAAGAAGCTAAAAATCTTGCAGAAATATTGATACATTGTATTAAATTGTCGTAAAAGTAGATAACTTGTAGAAGAATCTAATTGAAGGGACTCTTTACAAATACTGGAGTAAGATTAGCCTAATAAATATCTTATATAATTTTAATGATATTTTTTACAATTTTATCTCTAATGAAGGGGAAATTAAAGTAGTGTTTTGTTTTGAAAACATAAAAAGATTTGTTAACCACTCGTTAGAATTGAGGGACCATTGATCATAACTATCGCATTTAAAGTTTGGGTTATGTGGTAAATCCAATGAGCATAAATTTATGCCATGTGCCCCATGGATTTGCTATTGCTCAACACTCAGATCTACACCATGTGTCAGCATACCTCGAGCTAATCTCATTTACAAGTTTAGTACTGCTTTCAAATTAAACACTATCCACAAATTAAAGGTTTACAACAAATTAGACTTCACTTACTAATTTGCTATTGTAACATCATATATCTAATCTAATTGTTTACCCAAACGGGGGGTTAACCTTGCACATATCTTTTCCGACAACGAGATTTGTGCCACGTGTCTTCACTCAAAACCAGGATCTAACGGTTGAAGCTATCTCACGTGTCGCTCCTACAGTACATGACTTCTCCGGCAATTCTACCAGTTTTAAGCATGGGTGTTCAAATTTAAGTATGGGAGAGGCTGACTCAAATCCAGATTAGGAGGGACTATGCGTGTAATCCACCCCATAACAACCACTCCCAACCATTGTTGAACGATGTATAAAAGGGAGACTCCACCTCCATTTGGGGGTTTAATTCAGATATAGAGGAGGAAACACACTTAGAAAGAGCTTAACTTCTCTTTTACGTGCTTTCCTTTGTAATCACTCTATATGTAAAGCAAATAAAAACCAATAACATATCAATAGACGTAGGCTTGTTTCATACTTGCCGAATCACTTTAAAAATCGTAATTCATAGGAATCCAGTAGATCATCTTAACTATATAATACGTGTGGGGTGAATTTATGAAATCATTGGTTAGTAAACAAAGATTGCTAAGGTTACTATTAATTTGAACTTTCATTAGATCTTGAACGGTAAGATTACTCATAAATGTATAAGCAACTACTTAGAAAATACTAGTCCCTTTAAATTTTCATATTGTTGAGGACGTCCTATTAACATAATAAATAGGTGAACATTAAGATTAAATGTTTTGGGGATAAGACTTAAGGTGTAGTTATCAAAGCTTTAAGTAGGGATTAGTTTTGTAAATATATTTCTTCTTTGCATATTGTGTGAATGAGAATAAGATGTATCAATTTAATGAGATTAATAATTGTTACGGATATCTTAGTAACATATCTTAAATGGACTTATTATGTAAGTTGGGGGATTTCTTTCTTTCTTTTTAACTAATTTGTTTTTCTGCGCCTTAATAGATTGAGAGACTGAGCCATATATTTGTGACTACAATAATTAACGTTCATCAAATGTTTGTGCGCGGCTTTGTATAGTACATCTTGTAATTTTATTTTAACCATCTCTACCAAAACTGTTCATTAACTGTCTATTGGTTCTATTAAATGTTTTGTTTTTTTTATTTAATCAACCAAATCAAATAATATACTTAGTATGCAACGTTTAAATTCCCAGTATACAAGTCAACTGACTTGTGATTACACCCTATAGATTACTTTAAACTGCAAGTGACCCCTAGCTATTGTTCAGTAGAAAAAATTAAAGCACTCACTTTGTAGTTACAATATTACTTTATTAAGCTATGTGATATTTAGTTGTTATTTACTGATTACTAATGAAATAAAATATAAAATATTTAAAAAATATAATTTGTACTCATATTTAACTAGTTTAAATAATTAAGTTAAACCCTTTAATAAAAAATTGTATAAGGTTTGTTTAACAATAAATATACTTATGGTTTGTGTCACATCGTAAAGGATGAAATGTGGCATACAAAAATGTAAGGCGTACAGTGTGTGTTAGCTTTTGTTCTTGTCCAAATCCTTAAGTGTCAACTTTGAACCTTATCAGGTTATTGGGTTCACCTACAGATCTACGCAAACTTAGGGTAATAAACTTTTTACCCCTGAAATTTTAGTAACTCGTAAAACCGCCCAAGTTTTCTGAAACTAACATTAGTAACCCCTAAGTGCTGATTATATTGATTGGTTCGTTTCGACGAAAAAAGCAGACCACGAAATCAAAACCAATGACCTAACAGATCTACCATAACCATATTTTCAAATGCGTAATCATAATACGTCTATTCAGAACCTAAAATCTAATGGCAAACTGTATAGTATCCAACTGTCATATATAGTAAAACGATTGTATAAGCGGCATCATAGATTGAAGGGGACCTTTTGTACAATTCTGAAGAGCAACATATCCTTATTTTTTGTAATTTTTTTTTCGTGTTTTGAATCATAATCAAGATATCATCATATAATTTGATGATATTTGTTGCAATTTTATCTCTAATGAAGGGGAACCTTAAAGTATTGCGTTTAAATTGTCGTGTAGTTTTTTGTTTTGAAACATAAAAAGATCTTTGTTTTTGTAGAAAATTAGAAATGGCCCTTCATTGTAAATTTTATCTCCAGGTAAATACAATCGGATAGTCTGCACATGGGTGAAGGTGGTGTGGGTGGTAGCTGAGGATGAATGTCTAGGCAGTGTCTGGTGGAGGTGGCTGTCCGACACAGCGTAGTAGGCTGGATTTGTGGCCTCCTCAGAGCTTCCAGGCCGGATCTGCTTAAAGGCCTTGTCGTGTTTTGTGAGTGAGTTCTTACCTCTAGTGGAACTTGGAAGGCCTCTTATATTGTGCAAAGAGGCCCCACGAGCCTCAGTGGCCCACGGAATCGTTAGCACAGTTTGATGACGGAATTGTGGTGGGCAGGGTTGAGAAATGGATTTCTAACAGGCCAGAGTTGGTAATTGCTTTAACGTGGTCGACCTTTTCATTTATTTGGTTCTAAGGTGCTGAATTTCCAGTCTGTTAGAATATTGGGAAATATATAATATGCTATATAAAGACGAATACTCATGAGGGTTATCGTCACGGTGGCGCACATTTTAGAAGCTCTAGAATTGCTCTATGTTTGCACGACATTGGATTGACCAACCAATCAAATTGTTGTTTAAATCTTGACGCATGATTGAATATATGTATTTATTCCAAATTCGTGATAAGTTATTGAATTAATTAAAAAAAGGGTGTGGATTCTAAGTGGAATAATAATAATAAAAGATAATAATATTAGATACATTAGCATTTTTAGGCATTTTAGAGGTCTAATCATGCATGACCAACCTTGGATTTTGTGGATTGTCATGTGTTGAATTTTATTGGGTTAAATGATGTGACAATATTAACTTACTACATTGGTATTCCAAATTTAAATAATACCATAAATTGGATTACATAGGTCATTGTTTGACAGTAAAACCACAGTACAGAAACTTTATATAATTGAATAGGGTTGTGCAATGTAGTGATTGGTGACACTTGCAAATTTTTCTTCATATTCAATTGCTGTGTGTATATTGTGTTGGCAGTTCAAAATGTTCATAAATAGGAGAAGGCGGTTTAAAGTGCAGAGGCATAGGCATTCATTGTGGATGGGTAAGGTGCGGCAACTATGTTAGTGGAATGCACCAATAACACTTGTTTTTTTGTTTTTGTTAATGTAGATCAGGTTATTTGGGCAATCGAATACGTCTGTTTTCATATTTTGTTAATCGAGAAGATTTTTTTTTTTATTTTTTATGTGTTTTGTTGTGTTTGTTGTTACCCTAGGTCAAAGATTCATGAATTGATATTAATAAGAAGGATGTCGCATGACATTGGTCATGAGGGTTGATGTTAGTTCTTTCTTCTAAACTTAAGTTACAGAAAAAAAGAAAGGAAGGAAAAAAGGGTATCTCTAAATATGGTTTAATCGAATTGTAAGTATATCTTCTAACTATTTAAAAATTACGGTTTTATCTTGATGTTGTAGATATTGTTTTTTTTCGTCGGGGTCCAAGGTCTATTTGAATGTAACATTGTGTTAGCTCCCTGCGTCAATGGTAAGTGTATTCCTTAACAATTATTATATATGAGGATTAATTACGCGTTTGTTGGATTTCGTGGTTTCATAACCAGTTGTTATACAGAATGCATAATTGTTGCCTAATAGTCACAACATAACGGGATGAATCAATTAGCATTTTGTTATGTTTGTTTTCAGAAAAATTTAGTAAGACTTTTACTAAGAATCAAACCGAGTAATGACTCCTAATTTTCATCGACACTAGATTAGTGATGGTCGATATCTATATTAATAGAACCATTAATTTGTGTGAATAGGTGTTGGTTTCGGTATAACAGCGTTGCTATGTATGGTCTAATGATTTTTATATTGTGATTTAATTTATCCTAATAATGATAATTCGCTTAAATTGGGTCAGTAACAACATTCATTTTAATCATCAGGACCACATTATTTCAGGTTTCCACTGAACAAAATCATAGGTACTTTGAACCATAGCACTACGTCATATAAACAAATTCCAATTGGCTGAGAGGCTGCATCTTAGAACTAGATAACAGTGCGTTACAATGAATGTATAGATTGCACTTAAATTT